TTACAATTGAGCTTCACTCACATTATATAGTATACGGTGAAGACTTAGTGGCTCTTGAGTACAGGTAAAGTAAAATAAATATCGGGTGACGTACAATAATAACAACGAAGATGTATTTTTCCCACTCCCACATCATAGTAATCTATTAATAATCATTGTATAACATAATAATTCATCTTGTCTCAGCCACAAGTTAGTGAAGACGGCTGTGATGCAGAAGGGCAACAGGAATGTATCGATTTACCCACACAGTATTTGTATTTAGAGAGACTAGTATCAGCTGACCTCTCCCACGTTATGGTAGGAGTAATGGTCCTGGTAAGATTAATTGGCACTTGTAATAAACTTTGATAGACGCGTAACGTGATACCGAATGAAAACTGGTTGCTACCCACATGTGTGCACTCTGGTTGCCAAAGGAGTCTTTGCAGTAGGTTACAGTTTTTCTATTATCCGTTTTCCGCAAGAATTTCGCACATCGTCGTTCTAAGCTACCTCCCCTTCAAAAAGCCAGAAAGTGTCGGGTGCAGACCAAACACCACAACTGACGACGGCCTCCAAGTAAATCTGGTTAGTAGTGGTTCATAGTGATAGCTGATTTTGGTAAATGATAGTTGTAATTAGTGACAACTGATGAATACAGGCTAATCATTTCATTGGCAGAAAACATTTGCATTTTGTGGAGGCCGTCGTCACTTGTGGTGTATGGTCTGCACCCGACACTTTCTGGCTTTTTGAAGAGGAGGGTATATCCCATGAAAAACCCCTCAGGAGTGTGAACTCGGACTTGTATTGTCGCTTCCTGGGTTCAGGGACGAATTAGTCAGTGACCTGTGAAGGCGGAATTTGCGATGAAAAGCCAACCCATAAAATCAAGGTAGAAGTGGCAGGAACGCTGCAGGAATGAAGAAAATAGCCGAAATGAGGAAAATGATCTAGAACCCGGGAAAATTTCCTCATTTTTGCCCCGCGATTCGTATGTCTCAGCCAAGACTAATCAACGCTGAGGCTCTCTCAGCTAGAGGGGCTCGAATCAGGCGACAAGAAGACAGCCAATCGGTGGGAGTGGAGTGGCGCGAGCGGCGCGGATACGGCCCTGCTAGACCGCTGGGGCACACCCTTCACTGCGAAACGAGCATCGTCCCGCACTCTTAGGGCCCACTGCCTTTCCGCTAGATATAATTCCCCTTCTTCATCCTCCAACCTTATCGTGGAACGCTTCTTTGAAGGTGGATGGTAAGAGAAACTGAACCTGCGGGAATCAAAGTAATTTGGTCAACGGTTAAAAGCCGACAAAACGGGAATCGATACCCAACCGTGTATATAAGAAGTCGCGCCGTTTACCATCAAAACACCTCGGCCTTTCTTTAGCAGTAAGAGAGACAAATTTGTACTCAGCACCTTCCGCCGGCAGAAATTACTTCTATTCACCCCTACTACCTACTAACCCCTCTTTGTTAGGTGGTGTCACGCATCCTTGTGCGCAAGTCCTTCATGTTGTACCTCATCTAGGAACCAAGAACTATGGGAACGGGAAAGAATCTTCCAATCGGCTTATAAATGGGCCTACTAAAGGTCAGTTCCTGACACCTACGACATGAAAGAAAAAGTACAGGGTAAACAAATACAAAGTTCAACCAATACGATATCACGATTTATGAATTTTGTCCTTGCTTCAACGTTCAAATAGTCAGGAATTTCTTCTGAATACGGTGATTTGCACTTCAACTCATTCTTTATAAAAATTATAATTACTAAGAATAAACTATACTATTTGGGGACGGTAGTGCTCTCCAAGGGCGAGGGAAGCGGCTGGAACTAGGCTTGTCTTGTACGTCGGCTGGGCATGAGCAAGTAAATCCATTCGTTGATCATTGTAAAGCTGAAATATTACAAAATTTTGTTCAAAAATGCTACGAAAAATAAAGCGAAGCAAAATAAAAAAATAAAAAAGAGATCAAAATAGTCAAATAAAATATAACGAGATGTTAGTGATTCCTACACTTCGAAATCGCCCGCCGTGTTTCGCCAAGAGTTCATCTGGTGGACCTTCTTCGACGATGCGACCTTCATCCATTACGATTATCCGATCACAGTTCTTCACAGTTGACAACCTTGAAAATTCATCAATAAAGACTATCAAAACACGACAGTCGTTCCACATACATATATAACAACTTCAGCCACCACCAAGTTACTGCATTTCCTATCAACTCACAAAGAGCCCGAAGACATCGGATCTAGACCATCACCCTTCCAACCAGGACCATGCGTTCATAGGAAATTTTTTAAGAAATGAAATTTCCGCAACGCCATTCAAGAGTTAATGCCGCCAAACAGCGGAATTTTTAGGGTTGGAAAGGAGATTGAAAGTTAGAAGCCAGTTGCTGGACTGCTTTTTATATCTATAAGGGTTGTAGATGGCGAAATTGTCATTGCAATTTCGGAATGGCTGAAAAAAGACTCTTATGATGTATAGGAGATTTTTAAGGAAGCTAGATATTAGGGTTACTCGAGAAGGGGTGGTTGCATAATGGTCGGACTCTCTCGGTCCTCTCCACAATCTCGGTCCCCTCCGTAAGCGAGTGGGAGGGGACCGAGAGTGTGGAGGCTCCCATCCCTTCTGAACTGGTTGTTTAACATCACATTTGTTTGAGAGAATTGCGAGCATTGTTTAGTTAGTTACATTCCTCTCGGAATGTATATGACAATAAATCTTTAGGGGCTTGATAATTGCTGTGTCTTGACCCCTTTATTCCCTGAGGTTTTACCTGTGAGCGATTGTAATCGTAGTGAGGCCTTCGGAAGCGAGGTCGATAGCATGTTGTACTTCCTCCTCATGAAGGTTATCCAAAGCTGAAGTGGCCTCATCGAATAGCATTACTGTTGGCTTTCTAAACAAAATACTCAATACGTAATCTTGAAGTACTAGCAAAATATTAGCAGCGATTTTTTTACTTTGTCCCACTAATTGGTGCATTCACTTCTTCAGAAAACCCTCACATATTTATAATTCATGATATCTCTTGTTGCTGTTGCAGAGAAATAGAATCAGGAGGCCTTCGTTTTCCTCCCAGAGAAAATTCTTCACTATTTCATTGTGAAACTCATATCACTAGCAGGCGCCGTTTAGTAGATTTGAAGGCCCGCGTTCGCCTGATTCAAGGCCGCACGCAGAGCGTACGCGGCGCGTTTTTTTTTGAAATTAATTGTGAATGGTCTGACAAGAAACACTCACCTGATTACTGCTCTCGCGATAGCTACTCGTTGTTTTTGGCCACCTGACAATTGCAGTCCTCTGCAAAATTTCATAATCAATTAACCATGTTCTGGCTTTGATACCCTTCAAATAAAACTAAGATAATTACAGTGGTAAGAGTACATGGCGTACCTGTCTCCAACCCTTGTTTGCATTCCTTCCGGCAGTGAACTGATAAACTGCCAAGCTCCCACTTTTCGAGCTGCATCATTGATTTCTTGCTGGAACTTAGACAGTGAGGAACAATATAAGGAGTTTTACAAGAATGCTGGGTTGTGAACAAAACTTTCGCTTCAGACGGGACGCTAAAAACAGCAGCTAACAAACAAAAACACACCAAAATCTAAGGAGTGTTGCGAAATGGTATGGTGCTTAGCAATTACAGTATTTTACTTGCCGAATACCGTAATCTCTTACGGGTGCCGTGATCGATAGCTAACTTTGATTTTGCTTCTACAGAATCGCTTGAAATAGAGGATCTGGGATGAACTCCGAAGAAAGTGACCGCTCCCTTTGAAATTTCTTTGGAAATATACCAGTAATAGGAAATAATACCAGTGAAAAATGTTTTCGCCTTTGTAAAAAAAAACAGCAATTCAGGTTTCAGATGTGTACCATAGTGAATTGCGAATGTTGACCAAAAAGGGACTACAATAGCCAGAAGGCATAATTTCTAACAAAGAGGTGGTCTATGTCTCGACCTGCGTGGCGTCAAGTCGGCCGTATCGGATGTTGTCACTAATAGTTCCGTCAAATAGCACTGGCTCTTGCGACACCAACGAGCACATCCCTCGTAGATCATCAGGACACAACGTTTTAAGGTTGTCACCGTCGAGTAGGATCTGAAAGAACAAATATCAAAATCGCTGCGCAGCAGAGGATTTCTACAAAAAATGAAGCTTTGGATCTATCGTCTGGCGAAAAATAGGTGAAGAATCATTTAAAGAGGTCAGGTCAGGTTTGGTATGGGTAAGGATTCTAATGTCTACGTAATGCTTTTGTTGGTCAGTTGTTTGGGAACTAAGGATTGTGCAGAGAAGAGGAGCCCAGATAGCAAGTTTAGATGAGCGGTGGATCCATGATCTGAAGAAGACCCAACCTTTATGGGCGGGGCACGTAAACGGGCGCAGCTCGATGCAGATAGTCAAATGTCACTTCAAGATGTCGCAGAGACCATAAAACAATTGGTAGAGTGGAGGATTTTAAAGGCAGCGATTACGATAAAGTGGAGCGCATCGGGGAAGCATATGCACCACACGAATCAGTTACTTGGCTGCCAGGAAGCGAGGTGTGGCGCTTTCACGACGAAAGGTGCGCTGGTTGCTGAGCAGGACTTCGAAAGCACTCCGCCCCCAAAAGCGATCCGCCCACTAGTTTACTTGGTGATTTGGACGAGCTGCGTTGCCAGCAGCGGCATTGGAGCGTGGTTTGGCATGGTGCCACCAAACGCGTTGCGTGAACTCGTTCATACGTCCGCTTTCTGAGCTGTTACCTGTTCATGAGTGAAAACCAACGGCCAAAAAAGGGGGTCCCGTTTTGCGTTTTTTTGACGGATTTCTCCGCTTTTTTCGCCACTGGCGTACCATTGAGCACCACCACGTCTCCTCTGAACCTTCTTGAACTTATCGTAATCGCTGCCTTTAATGTGTGCTGGGCATGCCAATTGGCTGTGTTCTAGCTTTGGAATAGGGCACACTGCACCATGTATGTTCAAAAGTTGGAAAACAGAATTTTTGTGCATACTTACCGATCCACTATCAGGATCGTAGAATCGAAGTAATAGTGCCGTGAGGGTACTTTTTCCTGAGCCACTGGAGCCGACCAGCGCAACCTTTTCACCAGCCTCGACAGTGAAAGTTATCCCCTTCAGAACCTTAAATATACAAGCTATGGCAAGAAAATTTAGCCAGCATGATTATCTCGTAAATCATTTTGCACCATTACTATCTGTCAGTAAAGCTCTATGGCGTTCATATGATATTATAGCCACTACTTCATATTTACCTCAACATCCGGTCTACTGGGATAGCTGAAGTGGATATCACGGAAATGGATGGACCCTTTTCCTAAACAGAGAAGATAAGAAAAAAAATTGAGGGAGTTGTTATCTTGAATAGTTAATGTCTAGCAATTTCTGTACCCATATATTTCATGCTTTGGCGCCGGTACTTTGGACCTGGTAAGCATTGCCGAGGGTTATCACCGGCAAAGCCATAGTCGCGTTCGATTTGTGGAGATTCGTCTGCAACATTTTCTTTATTCATAAAAAAACACGAAAGTAGTAGCCATGGAATTTACCCACCCAGAATATCTCGCAGTTGATTTGCGCTTTGACGAGCCGCTGTCGCTCCATTGATATGAAAACCGATGGAGATCGATGTTACGCACATGTACAGCATGTTAATGGCAAGCTGTAAGGCTAAAGTTATGTAAAAGTGGAGTTATTTCTCCTCTTTCTTTATTTTTACTCCGTTTCACTCCGTTACCCCGGTTTTGCCACCTCACGTTAGCTGCGAACACGATCACCGCCTCCCCATTAACTTGCGAGGCAGGGTCAACGTCCGATTTGAAAGAATCAAAGAAGGAAGCAAAAAAATAAATAAATAAATATGAATGAATATAAATACAAATGTTTTGCGCAAAGTAGGGACCTTTCCCTGGAAGGCGTGGGAATGAGCAATTTTTGGATATTAGCGAATTTTCTGCGTTCTCAGGAAAGCCTGAGAATTTACACATTTCGCAGTTCTATAGTAATTGATGGCCGACAGTCGCCATGTTAGACTCTGCTGTGATCGTAATTTTGCACAAAATGCATTCATGTGCAGGATCAGCCATGTCTGGCCCCTTCAAATTTCTTACGGCTGCCCTCCAACCGCGGCAGGCACCACTCACATCTTCATGCTTGGCATTCTTGGTGTTTTTGAGCCCCTTGACACACTTTAATCTAGCAGTGGCTGCTTAACCGAGGAAAATGTTGGGAAATCTGTAATTTTTCCAAAAATTTCCCACTTCTTAAAACTATTTTCCATTCATTCCCGGAGCACGATGCCACATGTGCCACATTGCCTCAATCCCATTATGCAACTCTAACTCTCCTGTTTGACGTGGTAACCCGAACACGACAATTAAGAGAGAAAAACGTATGAGAAAAAAACAGTCAAGAAAAAAAGGGGTTTGTTTATTCCATTTATCAAACTTCTTTGTTACAATAATACTGCTAATTGTAGGAACAGCTCAAGGTGCTAGCATTACCCGAGAGCACCATGGCAGCATTTATGGTGCAGCACTTGAAGGCAAAGTTCGGGCTCAGACCCACTTAACAAGCCCTTATCGTGGTTAGAAGTGATAGGTACGCGCAAGCAGGTCGCGCCACCTTTCTACATGAAACGCTTCACTAGGACCCTAGGCGCCATGGACTTCTAACAGACTCCACCAAACCGTTCGACATCTTTTCTGCGTCGCTAACATGATCTGCCATGCTCTCTCTACTCGAACCTCTCTCCCACTTCCCCGCTTAAATGGTTATCATGAAGACTTTAATATATCTAATATAGCTAAGTGCATTTATAAAAATAAGTTTATATATTATAAATTCTCAATGACTACCCTAAAATCCCATAGATAAGAGCGGTTTAATTTACCGGTGAAAAATGAATTGGAATGAAATTGAAATTGAATGCAGTCACCCCTCTAACTTGATGGATGGATAAATAAAAATCGGAGAAGAAGTTTAGAAGAAGCTCCGCCCCTCAACTCTAAACCCCGCCCACTTAATAAACAATTCATATAGAAAAATAGCGATTTTAACGGAATTTCTGCCGGAATCTCTCTAGAAATGCCGGAATTTGATCTCTGGATAGAACTTGAAGAGCCCATTCGATCAGTAAAATTCCATAGATAAGAGCGGTTTAATTTACCGGTAAAAAATGATTTTGAAAAAATATTTTTATTTTTTATTTATTTTTTTGAAAAATATGTTATATGTTATAAATTCTCAATGGCTAATAATTCTATGTGACTATGGAACCACTTCCTTGCAAACAGCGCAAAAGGGTGAGGGGGTTGCGGACCGGCGGTGATTATGGAAGTACCTATAATATCACTTGTTTAATAGATAACATAGAAAATAGTACCGCTGCCAATCTTCCAGGCGATTGATCGGCCACTCTCCATATTCCATAGCATAAAGCAGCAGTGAAAATTAATTCAGTAAGAAGAATCTGAAATCACAGATAGGTCAAACCTGGATCACATGGACCACATCTTTATAGTAGGGAGTAGTATTTATTAATCATTTAGTACGTTTCTATACCTGTGTTAGACTATCATATACTGTTGAAGAACGCAGTCGAGATTCTGTCAGCTTATTGTTCTCCATTGAAAGTTTTTCAAATCTGAGAAGGAGATAGATTGTTTTTAATTAGTTACTTGAAGAAATAATGGTGCTAACTTGTTGATTGTTTGTTTCTGAGCAGCGAAACTGATCACTGTTCTTATGCAGCTGAATGTTTCATTCACTAAATTGCTGATTTTGTTCTGTAGATGAACTTCTTGGTCCATTGTTTTCGAAAACCACTGAAACCAAAGCAAGGCTTCTTAACAAAGAAAGTAGCTCATAAAAAGAAAAGAGAAGTGAAATAGGGCGGTATACTAACCTTGCTAAATACAATGCGGCTTACGACTAGTAGTGGAATCACTGAACACATCAAAAGGGTCACGTCCCATTGTATGTACAAACACACGGCTAAATTTCAACAGGTTAGAGAAAACTTTAACTAACGAGGAAGGTCTTTCAGGTGGACCCGCGCTTTTTCAAAACGGTTTTTTGCATGATATAGGGGCATGTGCATGGACCACAGAACTGTGGTCCATTTCCGCTAAATGGCCCTCTGAATGCCAAAAAAGGGAAATGGTCCTTGGTTCGATTCCCCGCGGTGACAAAATTTTTGCATTGTGATTTGACGCCACAAAATTGGCACCAAATACGTCAACACCAGGAATTGATGTCATATTTATAATTAGGCTTACAAAAAAACCCTTACAAGTGGGCGTATACCGAAAACTGGTGAGAGAAAGTTGTGACGCAAAAACGGCACCAACGTGCCGTCGAACAGCGTCATAGGGGCCCGAAATGATGTCGGAGCTAAAAATGAATGTCATATTCGTAATCAGGGCACCTGATAACCCTTGTAGTCGAAGTTTCCAAGAAAATCAAGATTTTGACCCAACTTCGAAAAATTGCTCCATGAGTAAGTAAACTCTGTAGCACGTCAGGCTCGACGGCGAACTTCTTGGAAATGACCTCCTCTAGATCCCCCTCAAGAAATGGGAAATGTTCCCACCGAAATAGGCATTCGTTTTTGGAGCCGCCGCTATCGGCGCCATTTCGACGTTACAACTTTTTTGCCTGCTTTCGGTGAAAACTTACCTCATCTGGGTTATTAATAGTTCTGGTCTTGAATAAGACATCCATTTTGGCACTAGTGCAATTTGGAGCCAATTTGGAAGTGCCAACAAGAAATGCAAAAACTTCCGCGTCTGGAGGATCCGAACCACCAACCCCGCCCAACCGTGCCAATTGAAGTCCACCGCTAACCACTACACCACCGACGCTGCCAGCAGAAAGCCAAATGCACTCATGAAACTTCCACACGCTCTTCAGTACACAGCATGACATCACTACGACAACTTTCCAATTTTGGCCAAACTTCGCGTTGTTTTCGATACAGAGCTTGCGAGAACCCTTCGTTATGCAAGCAGTCCACGCCATACCACGGTGAGTGCGCAAAAATTGCAGTATCCGACGAAATTATTTTCACTCCTTTTTTGGCATTCAGAGAGCCATTTAGCGGAAATGGACTACAGTTCTGTACTCCATGCACATCCCTCTACATCATGCAAAAAACCGTTTTGAGAAAGCGCGGGTCCACCTGAAAGACCTCCCTTTGTTAGAGGATTATTCAAGGAATAATTCATGGATATTCACCATTTTCAATCCCGCAATACGACTTGAATGATCGTGACTGCGCAACGACAACCAGGAAAGAGCCGACGTACCACTAAATGCTCAAAGCAACATCCCCCACCCCCCAGAAGAAGTCGTGTTGAATAATCTAATCAGTTGGTGAGATAGAGTAATTACGATTAGCACAAATGTGCCGTTGTCGCGGCTCGAAATTGCGCGGTGCTAGGGCGTTACCACTATGTAGAATTTAGCGACTAATCTTAGCATTTGGATGAGTTACGTAGCGCACATTCATGATACGCAACGTGGATTACGGCGTAGCGGCTGATTCAAATACGCGCGGGTTAGTTGAGCCGTGGAGCAGGCAAGTTCGTACAACTCGTCTGGCCCCTCCCTTATTTCAAGGGAATCCTTGTTTAGGGCTTCATGGACTTTTTTGCTTCTTTTTCATTTTTAGTCAACTCTTCCTCCACAACTTCACTATCGATCACTGTGACTCAAAAAAGGAACTGGGGTTGTTGCTTCAACTCAGCTCGAGCCAATGTCGAGCATTCCTCGATGCTAGAGTGGAACCCTATTTTTGTGGGAAGGGAAGGGAGAGAGGATTATCAAGCGGAACCGGGGATGAACTTGATATGAGATATATGTTCAGAAATTTTTAGAAATTTTCCGAAATTTTAAGCTTATCGCACCCCCTTTACTACTTGACTAAAATTTGTGGGGTCGCTCTACTTCACAATTTCCTCGGCATGCACGGCTCACTGTGCCGTAGGGGAGTGGAGTACCAGAACGATTGCGTTTGTTGTAGATGGATGAAAAACTTCCCTTGTACAAAATGTACTCGATACGGGAATGGAGTAGTGGATGCATGGTATAACAGCGCTATACCAGTACTCGCACGCACCAGAAAATGAATATAAGCTGATTGCACTATTGAAAGAAACTCACCTATGTTTACTACAAGATACGCCGAAATAAATATGACCATTGGTATGTTGTCTGAGATGCCATTGTAGATCGTATCTGCATATCTGTAAGCGTGTTCGTTAATGTAGGGGATACGGCTCTGATGCCTTGTCGCTAGATCTAGTGAGCTCCTTTGAATTGAAGGAGCCCACGGTAAGGTCGGAGGTCGATCCTCTGAGAATGCAGGACGATGCGTGTTTCACAGCGAATAGCATCCTCAGCGGCCGCATCGCGTGTTCGGTGCTGGGGCGCGCTATTGCTCTTCACGCAGGTGTTCGCACTTTCGTAAACCGATTCTTCCCGATATTCTCTTTTCCAATCTTGGATACATACCTTCTGAAAACCTCTCACTGCTGAGATTTACTCGGTCTTTTTAATCATTATTATTCAGGCCTTCAATATTTTCATTAAGTCGAATACTAAGCACTAGAATTTTCACTAGCAATAAGATAAACATTCACACACTACTAGCCGCCTGCGGATTACTTGAATTCACGTCGTTTAAGAGCCTCAATTAGATGTTTCCGCGTGTGGTCCCTCTTCTACACAGTGCTTCATGACTGCTGTGATTTTATACATTGAATCTTTCTCCACACTGTGATTGGCTCACCCACCTCAGAATCCCCCCTCTCCGCAACAGCTTAGTCTTAGGGCTTTTACATTCGAATCAAGACAAGTGACCGTTGTCCACGCCAGTGAAGAAATTCGTCGCTATCTTCACAGCTTTCTGCAAAACATCTCCTCTGAAAATGGAAAATGTCACATAATAGGCCCACTATGCCTGCTGAGAACTGTTCAAAGATTCCACTTGAAATACAGAGGATGGGATATTGAGAGCAGAGGGAACACGTAAAGCCAACTAGCGCTTCAAAATGAAATGAATGAGATTGAGTACGTGGCGCATTCTGGGGTAAGTTTTGAGGCCCTTCTTTGTGTGTAGCGGTCAGCCCGCATAAGCGGGATTATATACACATCACATGCGAGCAACTACTTTTTGAGATGAAAATCGAGTGCATGGCGCAATCCAAGATGGTGCCTCTAGAAAACTTGAAAACATTTTCTTCATAGAACTCAACGAGCTCAACTCAACCTTGCTTTCGGATAGCTCAGTGGAACCGAGTTCTAACAGAAATCGCGTTTTTTGCGTTAATTTTTGAGTTTTTGTGGCGAGTACCGTACTACTTGCGTGAACACGATGCAGTGTGTGAAAACATTGAAAATGATGAGGATATGATAGAGCTTCAAGAAAAAACAACAATAAATTATGATTAAGATAAAGCCCGTCGTCACTACCGGTCGGACTAAGCGCATTTCCAGCTCTGGTTTTTTCTTCTTCTGCTTACTACCCCAAAATAAATAGTCTGTCGAAAAGTCATGTGTGCTATATGTGCTGAGGAGGAGATGTTCGTCCTTGCTCCACTAACAACATTACATTCACAAACACGAGTCTGAAATGACGTGGGAACGACGAGTGCGATTTCCGCCGTTCTAATGCCGTTAATGCGCTTATAGCTGTTGACACATGACTACCAAAATAGTAAGTGAACAAGTTCGAATGGTTGGAAGAGCAACAGAAACGGCTAACTAGTGAAACGGGAACAAGTGCTACTAATCCTGAATGAAGATGCCAAAATTAGACATTTCGGATCCGTCCTTCAAACAGCTAACAGAACAGAGCGTGTCAATTATCATAATGAGGTTTGAAGTTTTGAGGAACAAGATAAGGCGTGTTCGCAAGATATGCGGACGTTGCGACGGGAACGCATGTAAAACCGCGCCAAACAACTGTTCTTATTTTGTTTGTTGGAAAAGGAACTAAGTCTGAAGTTAAGCGAGACTCCAGCGTGTGTAAGTATTTTCATTTGCTCTAAAAATCCTGCTCAGCCCCTCTTAGGCTCAGTCCTAGGGGAGGCCCGTATCTTGCTATTGCCCATTTTTGTGGAGGTTTATAGGGAAAAAATGAGACCGCCGCAATGAAATAGGACAGCTCCTGCTCAAACTATATCACTGTTCTTGACATGTCTCACTTTGTTAGGTGTCTGAGAGCTTCATTATATACGACATGTTCTAACATGTTGTCTTGGGTTAACACCAGATCGAACTACTACGTCAGCACATGACCCCCGTCGGACAACAGAACCCCGACGAGAGCAGCAAATTGAGTGGTTCAAAAGGGGTCGAATTGAGTGCCTTGCTCAGTTGGGTCGCATCTTTAGCATACGCTGTACCCTTTAGGTGGTAGAATAGAGTTCTGACTTAGTTGGAAGATTCTGGCATATTTGCGCCCTTTCAGCGAAATATCGCAGACTCGCACATTCCTGCTTACCGCGCATATCAAATGACACAAGAACCATTTATCAGTATGATTTCCTAGGTTCTACCGTAAACCACGTAGCACTGGAGCGCGCAATCGGACCAGCGCATCCACATGCACAAATCCTTTGACCGGGCCTAAGCCTGGGGCATTATAACACCTTCTTTCGCGACCACCCGGAGGCAGCCATCCAAAATTCCTGCAGCTGCCCGCTTCGCCGCGCAGGCGTCCGCCTCGCCGCTTGCGCGACTAGGCGGACACTGCACGCGTCCCTGGCGCCTCGCATAGGAGCAGGCCCTCACCTGAGGCCGCACTTCCCTGCGGCAGAAGTGCATCACCTTGCCATACTCCACTTTCTACAGCGATGGCGCTCCGACAGTTGACGACCACATTCTCGTCGTGGCTCTCGTCGTGGAGGGCGCAGAGAAAACGACGAAAACAAATCGATAACATGTGGCACTGCGGCCCCACCGCGAACGC